TTTTATTAATATCATGTATTACATAGAAAAATAAAATATTTTGGTGGTTGCATATGAATGAATTAGAGATTTATTATTTTTTTAACTTAAGCTAATCCATGCAATTTAATTCTGCAGAAAAAGGGGTGTGTATAAACTCTTCATGTTCATGAGAAAGACTAAAATCGTTTACTTTTAGTTGCATTGTTTGTTTGTTTTCTCAAACTCATTATTTGAAATAAAATCAGATGAAATTAATGAATCTGTACCAAGAAATTGATACCTCAAAGTTAATAATGTTCTTCAGTTGATTATTAATTTAAAAAGTTTGAAACATGTAAATAATAGAAATACGAAAATGAGCCAGTTTAATAGCTACCAAGTATGCAAGATCAGCGAAACATTTTAGCGCAATTTGACGTCATTTTAATTATGACGTTATTGTATTAGTCGACGCTGCGTTAAAACGTATGCACAGATCAAGTAGATTGGGCCTCGTTAACACTACTAAGTCAGAAACGTACTGACATTCCCATTTTTTACTGACAAACTTAGAAAATTACTGACAATGTGCTGTCGTTACTGTAAAACTTAGACAATTACTGTCCTTTTTACTGCCGGTACTGATAAACTTAGAAAACTGCTGACAATCTTAGTCGGTGCTGATAAACTTAGACAATTACTGACCCGTTTACTGTCCCTGCTGATAAACTTAGACAAGTGCTGACATTTACTGATAATTACTGTCCCTATTGTTCTCTTTTTCGGGGAGGCTGCAGCGGTGTGAAAATGACTGCGTGTTATACTTTGTATTTAAAAACAGTCTTATTTTAATTTTTTATGAAAAAAAAAAATCCCAGGCCGTTATCATCTTTGAATCTAAATATTATTGATATCTGTAAAATAATTCAGAATATGATTTGAAATAAACTATGAGTAAATCAAGTTTAAATTTATGTGCTGAATATATCTATCCCTGTTTAATTAAAGAATTAAAATTAATTAATCATCAAGTTAGTTTTCATCTATTTATTTCTCTGACTTTAATGTTGAGCCCCCCCCCCCCTGTTTTCACGATCGGAAAGTTGTATCAATTTTCTTTTCACAAACAGGACAGATTTTTCTTGTTAAAAAAGGAAATCTTCTAAATATTGAATAATTACTGATAGGTAATTCAGTTTCCTAATGTTCTCGGACATCTGTACAAGTCATATAATTATATACCCCTGGTTAAGATTTCCAGTTTCATTTGCTCATACGGGAGTTCCCCTATTGAAAAGTACAGTGTTTCATATATAAACTTGTACTATGCCTGGTTAATTTTATCACTTAAAACATTATTTCTAAATGAATGGTTGGTTGGTCGCTTACGAGGGGTTCATAAGTACCCAATGTCTGTAAGTCCGAGACTGATAATTATTTATCAGACTAGTAATAAAAATTCATGTACTAGCAATTATAGAAATCTTACGGAAAATATTTATATTTACTAGGTCAGCGGTAATTAGCAGTAGCACCATTCTCAAATATTTTTCTTCTCTCTCTCCCTCACTCTCTCTCTCTGCCCCCCCTCTCTCTCTCTCTCTCTTAAAGATACAAACAGTATTGACACTTTAAGTTACTTAAATACTTGAGAAGTACTGCGTTTATTCACATTGCCGAGGGGGTTAGATCACTAATTTAGTTTTTAAACTTAATCTTTAAGTATTTTTAATCATGATTCAATTTTAACAAAAATATAACATGTTTCGTACCTCAATTTTTCCCCTATAGCTATCGGTAAATTGGAATTATTTTAATTTTAGGGTGTTATGATGTTACATAATAATAAGGCAGAATGCGGACTTGTCTAGTTAAAATATTTTACGAAGTAGTGAAAATTGGAAGTCATTAGTCCTTTGAACCAGTGTCACAAATATTTATTTCGAACCCTCTAGCATAAATGTATAAGCCCCCCCCCCCCCTATGCACACATGTTACATGAAAAAAAATCTAGTATACCGGTACTTGAATATGCCTTATAAAAATGTGTAAGTTTTTTGAATGATGCAAATTTCTTTGTCCATTTGATCAATTTATACCCCACCCGTAATCATTATTTAATTGATTCAGGTTTCATTAACATCTTTCCTTTTCATAAGATTAAGATTATTCGCTAACTGTAGGTTCCCACCATCTTCCGTGACGAGTTACCATTCATCTCTCTCTCCCTTCTGTTTCTCTCTCTCTCTCTCTCTCCAGAATATCAATATCGACCAAAGCAAAGTTTAAAATACATGTATAGTTAAACTCCGGCTGATTTTTTTTTACTGTCATATTACTGCTGCATATAAATTGTGTTTGATTTTTTATTGGAAATATACTATGACCTATTTTTATTTTATTGATAATCAAACAAATTCCTCACTCCACTGTCCAACACATACACTAACACGACTTAACAAAAAATATTAGGGACCAGTAATTTTTACGAAACTTTGGATGTCATGTACCCCTTCTCATATATTTATTTTGCTTAAATCTCTAAACAATTTGTGCCTTTCCCCGGTTGGTTTTTACATCAATCTTCTTTTTCATTAATCGTTAATTTTATCTTACGTCGGTATATTAAAAAAAAATTATTCATTTAATCTAAGAAGAGGTTGAAGGATTGTAGATTGCATATTTATATTACGTATGTGTTGGTGCTGAATTTCTCAAATTCAAACTGTCTTGAAGAAGAGTCTACCTGTCGCCGTAATGTTGCGTAACTAACTTCCCGTGAAATCCGGCGAGTGTTTTTCTGTAAAATACGGCAGTGACACCTATTGTCTTCTTTACCCGCTACCGTACACACTCAGATTGCCTCAGGCGATATCTTCTACACACAGGTGCTTCACAGAGTTTCCGATTGTTGAATGATTATGTAATTCGGCTGGATACCAGCTAAACGACTTGAAAAATTTTGGACGAATAAAAAGCACAGTGTTACTGTAAAATCTTGATACATGTACTGGTTTCAATACCGAACAAAGCTATGAAACGTCGATTTATTAAGTTAATTAAATTTATTAATTTTTTGTACCTAAACAGATAAAAAGGAGTACAAACTTAAACACGACAGTATTAATTGTGTGTTCTTCTTCAATAAAATAAATAAGTACTGTTCATCATTCTTCATTTAGTTCGCACGTGCACCCCCTCCCCCATTTTAATTTGAAAAGACAAAAAGAAACTAGATCCATGTGAACGTCTACCGACACTCTAATTGAAAAGAACATTGAAATTAATTTCTATCAAAGTTTTGTTTCAGGAGTATGCATAGACAAAAGATGATAATATAAAATGTCATAGTTTTTCATGTATTTGAATTAAAATAACACTCTCAGGTGGGGATCCAGAAAATCCAGATTCGAAAATCAGCTAAAAGATGTACATTATTTTAGAAGAATAATTTGGACAGTAACTAAATCAATGAATATCAAAGGATCAATGATCAATGCTGGCCCAAAGCCCCCCCCCCCCCCCCCAATGAATAAAATAAAAAGTTTTTTTTTTATTTAAATCCCCCGTCTGTCTTTTAATTTTGGTTTCTTCTTGCAAATGCTTGGATTCGGGTATGTTTGACTGCACAAAAACAAATGTGGGCAGCCTCCACATAATTAAAAATTTTACATAATATGAAATCTATAACAAACGCCTTTCCTCAAAAGGGGGCACCCACGGCCTCACCGCGCTATGAGTTTATTAAAATTATTCAAACAAATTTGAATGAATTAAATTAAAATTGAATAAAACACATCTAACCTAACAGTTTAATTCTTTAAATTAATGTTAAAGAAATTCAGGGAGTCAATGTTAATTAAGAAAATATTATAAAATGCATGTCATGTAATAACAATGTTTTATTATAAAAAGGGAAAGACCTCTGTTAAAGCCATATATGGCGTATGTACAATGAAAATTATTAGACTAAAATTATAAAATCTTATTATTTGTATCATTACTTTATATAGAGATAGAACTTTTCCGTTAATTACAAAATCTAAGTCAATTGCGTTATAAAGATATCACAATTTAATGTGGATTCTCGGAATTTTCTCCGACTCGGAAGAAAATACAAAAGATTTAAATAACACATTACAGAGAAGATAAAATTGTATTATTAGATTAAACGAGGTGTTCTCCGTGAATTGTATGAAAAGCTTTAATTTGAATGTATTAACTATATTTCTTTACTTTAATTTTGTATTTTTCAAAAATATATTTCTTTGATCAGTTACACCGTACGCCATATATGGCTTTAAAATTCATATCTCACTACTAAAGGAAGATTTTAATTTTTTTTTATTGCTTATCTTTTTTGAAGGTTTTAAAATTTTATCCCTTCTCTTGAAAATATTTTTTTTTACAAATCAATTTTCTGTAAATTGATCAAAGAACCTTTTTTTTCCAAAGATATCACCTGGACATAGTTAAAAATTATAAGAAAAAACAAATAAATGAAATAATAATCTATGTTAAAATAAAAGAAAATCAATTTCACACCGCTGCAGCCTCCCCGAGAGCGAGAACAATAGGGACAGTAATTATCAGTAAATGTCAGCACTTGTCTAAGTTTATCAGCAGGGACAATAAACGGGTCAGTAATTGTCTAAGTTTATCAGCACCGACTACGATTGTCAGCAGTTTTCTAAGTTTATCAGTACCGCCAGTAAAAAGGACAGTAATTGTCTAAGTTTTACAGTAACGACAGCACATTGTCAGTAATTTTCTAAGTTTGTCAGTAAAAAATGGGAATGTCAGTACGTTTCTGACTTAGTAGTGTAATCCTTTATAATTTAGAATTTTGGTCCCTTTTTTACATCTTCATTGGAATCGTAAATGATATAATAACCTAATGAACATAATTATATAAGCTTGATATTTTGCTTTTGAAATTGATTTTCAAGATTTACTGTTTTAACCGAAATTTTGGTTGAATACATACTGATTTCGCAAAGAAAAAAAAAATTGAAATGTTAAAGTCCCTTAAGTCTTACCAAAATTAAGATAAAGAAAATTCCCACCGGTATTATAACAATTAGGAAATCAGGCGTGTTGACTGATATCACAACCAAAATGGCTAACAAGGTAAATAGCATCACAGCCCCCAATATGAAGGTTCGAGGAAGGCGGTCATCTAATATATCTATATCACTAGAAAAACGATTCATGATCCGACCCACAGGTGTTGTGTCAAATAACGACATTGGGGAACGTAAAATACAAAATAACATGGAGGAATGCAGGGATCCGGAAGCAGTTATCAATCTCGTGAGTCCAAGGAAGGCAAACAAGAACAGGAAAATTCCTGGAATAGAAACATCAATAAAACATTTTATCTTAATAAAGTTAGGTAATTTAAAATATTGTTAATATTTTGCATTTTTATCTTTTGCATTTTAATCTGACCTTGAAGAACTCCTAGGACGGTATAAATTGCCAGGTAGTAGTACTTCCGGTTCGAATATTCCTGTGCCGTGACCAGAGAATGATTTTTGATAATTTCATCCTCAGTCCAAAATGTCAACCAAAAATTACCATAGGCATTGAGTCCTTGAAAAAGCATTACAAACAACATTGATAGGACGGTACCGATCACTCCCATTGATTTAATGTAGGTAAAAATCACGGAAAGTTTAACCTGAAAGAAACAGTTCTTTATACAAGTTATCGAGCGTTTTTAAAATACAGAACACCTAAGAATAAATATTACTTCTTTTTAAAATTCATTTGTTTTAATTTCCTATTAAATATTGGAACATTTGAAATATTTGATATAAAACAAAGATCTGTGGGGAAAAAGTCAATTCTTTTTGGAACATATTTTAGAAATTTAGTCTATTAATTTTTTGAGTCCATACCGTCCCCTCCGCCGATTTTTCGCCTTGGATCAGTTTTCCATCTGCTGGTTCGGACTCTCCGCCACTATTGTATGGTAGGATCCGCCCCTGTGATGGTGATCTCTGGAGTATTTCAAGCGGGTTGATTTCGTCCTGTCTGGACGAATCTTTTTTCGTGTTTGACCTCGAAAAGTGTCGCTTTGATTCGGCATTGTTCATGGACTTCATCAAGTGATTACCTGTTTCTACTATTGGATGTGATTGTGAGAGTCGAAGTTTTATGTCTGTTGGAATGGAACATCGAGAATTTCTTCGCAAAGATACTTTCCTGAAAAAATATCCATGATACCATCAATTTCTTTTCATGAGTATTTATGACTTTTTTCCTGTAATTTCTAATTCCTTATGATGGAATTAAACCTGCATGACCATGGAAATCGAAAGGAGGGAGGTGGGCAGTTTAACCTAAGATTCATGTCCGTCAACACAATAATTCTTATAGATATATCTATTAATTTTATAAAAATCCACACTAACTCGTAAATGTTTGTTTTCTTAACCTACAGAAGTTTGTCACCACATATTTATTTGTTCAGATATATATCAGAAATATTTAAGGCCTTCTTTAATCTACAGTCACATATATAAACAAGAGGCCCATGGGCCACATCGCTCACCTGAACAATGTGGCTAGGAAAATCAGTTTATTATTGAAAAGCTTAAACCCAAAAGTGGTCCCAACTAATCCTTAAAGAGTAGAGGGTGGGATTTGGACAAACTTGAAACTACGCTAACTAAGGATGCTTGCATATTTATTTGACTACCTGTGGCTTTATTGCCCTTTACATTTGAACTTACATTGTTGCCACGCCCTACCCTACGGGGTCATCACTTGAACAAACTTGAATCTACACTACCTGAGAATGCTTTCATATGAATATGATTAATCATGGCTTTCCCATTCTTGAAAAGAAGATTTTATCTACATGTTTCTATGTAAAACTTTGATTGCATGTTTTGGCCCTGCCCTATACCCAGGGGTCTTGATTTGAACAAACTTGAATCTACACTACCTGAGGATGCTTCCATATAAATATGACTTATCATGGCTTTGCTATACTTGAGAAGATTTAAATTTTTTTTAAATATATTTCTGTGTAAAACTTTGATCAGCCATTGTGGCCCTACTGGGTCATGATTTGGACAAAACTGAATCTCCACTAGCTGAGGATGGCTCAATATAAATATGAATATTTAAAGAATTCTCCGATATATATCTATTTTAAACTTTGATTGGCCATTGTGGCCCCGCCCTACCCCTTGGGGTCATGATTTGAACAAATTTGAATCTTCACTACACGAGGATGCTTCCATATAAGTTTCATTTTTCCTGGCAAAGTGGTTTTTGGAAAAGAAGATTTAAAAAGAAATTCCTATATATTTCTATGTAAAGATTTGATCGGCCATTGTGGCCCCGCCCTACCCCTGGGGATCATGGTTTGAACAAACTTGAATCTACACTACCTGATATTGCTTCCCTATAAGTTTCATCTTTCCTGGCACAGTGGTTCTTGAGAAGAATATTTTTAAAGAATCCTCCTTTATATTTCTATGTTGAACTTTGATAGGCCATTATGACCCCGCCCTACCCCTGGGGGACATGATTTGAATAAATATGAATCTACACTACCTGAGGATGCTTCCCTATGAGGTTTATCTTTCCTGGCTTAGTGGTTCTTAGAAGAAGATATTTAAAACGTACCACCAAATTTTAATTATTTCTAAATTATCTCCCCTTGAATAATGGCGTGGCCATTCATTTGAACAAACTTGAACTCCCGTCTCCTAAGGATACTTTGTGCCAAGTTTGGTTGAAACTGGCCCAGTAGTTCTTGAGAAGAAGTCGAAAATGTGAAAAGTTAACGACGACGACGTAAACGCAGGCGACAACGACGACGACAACGACAGACAACGGACAAAGTGTGATCAGAATAGCTCACTTGAGCCTTCGGCGCAGGTGAGCTAAAAATCATTCGTTTTAGTAAAGAGGAAAGGAAATTCATTAACGAATACAAGGCACTCAACACATAATACCTTGTACTTTGTTGTCTTGAGAGATCCGAATCATCGGCAGACAATCCATTGTCCGGCACAGACTCAAGCTGTTCCCACATCTCATCCTTTGTCTTTGCAACTATAAAAAAATAATCAAAGTTCCAGTAAAAGTGAACAAATTATCTTGGCAACTACGATGGCTATGAAAATAGCAAACATCGATCCAGTAGTGATTGAAAAGCGTAAATACATAAGTGGTCACGACCTACTCCTAGAAAAGGAGGGGGTTATGATTTGAAATAACTTGGATCTACACTTACAAAGAATTTTTTGCCATACTTTGGCTTTTTTCCCTATAAGTCTTAACTTTCATTTTGGCCCCACTCTACCTCCAGGGGTCATGTTTTGCACGAACTTGAATCTACATTACCTGAGGATGCTTCCATTTAATATGACCAGTCATGGCTTGGTTGATCTTTTTTTTAAAAAAAGTAGATTTTTCCTTTATATTTCTTTGTAAAACTTTAATCGTCCATTGTGTCCCCATTCTGCCCCCGGGGTCAGGTTTTGAACAAACCTAAATCTACACTACCTAGGGATGTTTCCATTTAAATATTACAAGTCATGACTGTGTTGTTTTTAGAGGAAAGTTTTTTTTAATGATTTTTCTTATATATTCCTTACATGTAAAACTTTGATCGTCCATTGTAGCCCCACCCTACCTCAGAGAACATGATTTGAACAAACGTGAAACTACACTACCTCCATTTCACTATGATTAATCATGACCTTCGTTTTCTTGAGATTTTAAAAGATTTTTTTCTTTTATATTCTTAATATGTAGTTTTGATCGTCCGCTGTTGACCCACCCTACCCCCGGCGGTCATCATTTGAACAAACTTGAATTTACACTGCCTGAGGATGCTTCCACGTAAGTTTCATCTTTCCCGACCCAGTGGTTCTTGAGAAGTCTTTTAAACATTCCGCCAAATTTTCACTATATTTTAATTATTTCTCCCTTGAAATAGAGCAAGACCCTTCATTTGAACATTGAAACCTCAGAAAATCTCACTTGAGCATGGTTCTCGAGAAGAAGTCGAATATGTTAAAAGTTTACAGAAAGTCAAAGAGACAGACAGACGGACGGACGTACTGCAGACAAATTGTGATCAGAAAAGCTCATTTGAGCTTTCACTTCATTTGAGCTAAAAGTGGACAATTCATGTTGGCAACTCAATGAGAAAATTAATAGCAAAATGGACTCCTATTATCTAAACAACTTGTGACAAGAAATACGAATAGAAAAGACCTCTTCCCCTTATATATTTGCTACTTAAAGTGAAATCTGATTATAAGTGAACCCCTTATCTTAGAAGCCGAAAAAAGAAAAAAAAAAAACTGATAAAAAGTTCACCACATATCTTGACAACTAAAACAGATTTACTGATGGAAAAGGAACCCTTTCTCTTGAAGAAATTCTAATAAAATGAATTAATGTTAAAGGTACACAACAGGGCAACATGATGACTATCAGTAAAATATAAAAAGACTATATATTTAAAACATTATAAATTTAAAAACGAATAGTAAATAAATAATAGAAATTTAATAACTTATAACCAGTAGATATTGTCTTATTAAACATACTTTCATTATAAAAATATTAATTTTTAATTAAACCCCAGGAAGGTATATAAATGTTGAAATCAAATTTACTGACTTACAAATGAGTAAAATTTGGCATTATTATGAAATCACAAAGTTCAAAATATAGGAGGAAAACCTTAACGATAATATTATCAGGTCAATTAAATGAAGTAGAAAAGTGTAGTTCAATGCAATTTATGTAGATATGCGTTCATTCAATTGAGAAAAAATAAAGATAATAGTACAGTAACATACATGAAGATGACGAGAATAAAATATCATTATGCAAACCAAATAAGAAAATTCATTCTTTTTTTGCAAAGTGCAATAATGAGACAAAAACCTGTCTCAAAATTCTGAGTATTATATAATGTAAAGAAAATCAAGCATGTCTAGCAGTAATACCTATTTCATTTTCACCTGAAAAAAGACAAACCAGTATAAAAAATAATATTAAATTTAGGTTTCCTTGTAAAAAAAAAAAACGTTCAAAATATTTTCAGCAGATAAGTCACAGTAAAGGTCACAAAGTCGTTGATCTTGATGTCATTTGAAAGAGCTTAATTAATGGAGCATGCATACCAAATATGAAGTCTCTATCTTTGATGGTTCAAAAGTTATAGCGAAAGTTTGAAAAAGCTATTTTTAGCATATAATACACAGTCAACGTCACAAGGTTTTGTCCTTAAAGTCATTTGAAAGAGCCTTATTGGTGGACTATGCATACCAAGTACATGTATAAAGTCACAATTC